GAGGCAGCCGCAGGATCCAGAGAGAGCAAAAAGCCAGAAAGTCTACTTATATTCAAATTCACGCCACACCCCCAAGGACACTCTCTTTCATCTAATTGGCTACTCACAGTATATTCAATCATGGGAGTGATCACATTAAAACACTGAAAATCATGGCCCAGCCAAGTTGACAAACAATCTTAACCATCACAACGTCCTTCTCCAAGGATTGGCCCCTCCTGATAACATGTGCAAATTAAGTGAGACAAAATCTCACTATCCTCTCTTCTAAGGAATATTCTGGCTGTACTTTCTCCAAGACAGGTTTGTTTCCCTTTTGGTCCATGGTATATTCAGTATTCTTCTCTAGCACCATAATTCAAATTGGTCAAGTCTTCTTCTTTCTTCTTTTTCATTTTCCAGGTTTAAAATGCATATGAGGCAATTGAAAATTACATGGCTTTGGTCAGGTACACCTCAGTAAGCAAGGTGACACCTTTGCTTTTTAAGATTTTGAAGAGGTCTTTGGCAGCAGATTTACCCAATGAAATACATTGTTTTATTTCTTGACTGCTTCTTCCATGGTCATTGATTGTTGATCCAAGTAGAATGAAATCCTTGATAACTTCAATATTTTCTCCATTTATCAGGATGCTGCTTATTGGTCTATTTGAGAGGATTTTTGTTTTGTTTTGAGATATAATCCTTACTGAAGGCAGTAGATTTTGATCTTCCTCAGTAAGTTCTTCAAATCATCTTCACTTTCAACAAGATTCTCATCTGCATATTGCAGGTTTTTCATGAGTTTTCCTCCAATCCTGATGCCACTTTCTTCTTCATATAGTCCAGTTTCTTAGATTATTTGCTCAGCATACAAATTGAATAAGTATGGTGAAAAGTTACAACCTCGATGCACACTTTTTCCAATTTTAAAGCATGGTGTTCTGGAATTCCCATTTTTTGCAATATTATCTGTAGTTTGTTATGATCCACACAATCAAATGCCTTTGCATAGTCAATAAAACACAGGTAAAATCTTTCTGGTATTCTTTACATTCAGGCAAGATCCACTTGACATGAACAATGATATCCCTCATTCCATGTCCTCTTCTGAATTTGTCTTGAATTTTCGAATTATCTTCCCCCAAAACTAGCTTGGATGTGATCTTAATGATATAGTTTGATAACTTTTGCATTCTACTTGATCACCTTTCTTTGAAATGAGTGTAATTATGGATCTCTTCCTGTCGGTTGGCCAGGTGGGTGTCTTTCAAATTTCTTGGTCTTGATGAGTGAGTGCTTCCAATGTTGCATCTGTTTGTTAATGCATCTCGGTTGATGTTCTGTCAATTCCTGGAGTCCTGTTTTTTGCCAATGCTTTCAGAATTTCTTCCTTCAGGACAAACCAGTCTAGAACCTCCCAACCTTAATTTTCTTATGAAATGAGTAGATAAATGTTCTCATCATTTAAGCCAATGATTCTTAAAGTTTAATGTGCATTCAAATCACTTGGAGGTCTTGTTAAAGTTTAAATTCTGATTAACGAGGGCCAGGATGGTACCCGAGAGTCTGCATTTCTAACAAATGTCCAGGTGATGTTTAATTTGCCCATATATTGAGTCACAATTATGTGAGGTACTTTTACTTTTAGATTCAGTTACTGGCAGCCAAAAGCATCTTAAATGACAATGCTGAATACAGAGGGACTTTTAAGTTGACTTAGGACTTGTAACCTAAATGCCTGCAAGATGAACGTTAGGATTCATCAGCTAACAATGCATGGTTGTGACTATCACATGTGAAGGCTTTGACGTCATCAAAGTCTGAGTTCAAATCCTCATTCTATCATTTACATACTGTTAGGCCCTTGTGAAGAAAATATTTAACCTCTCTGAATCTTGATATCTTCATCAAATAGCAATGCCATCTATCTTGTATGGTTTAAGATTAACTGAGAAAATGTAGGTAATATGCCTAGCACAGGATGGGATACTTAGAAGGTGTTGAACAAATGAGTTCTTTTTTATGATGTGATTGGCTGCATGGAATCCTGTGTTCTCAAGCCTCATTCTCATTAAGGATAATTTAGTTAAAAGGATACGAGGCCCGGTAGAAAAGGGCAGGTTGCTGTAGTCAGAAGAGCAACTTTCCTAGTAACTGACCTACAGTATCAAAAGCTTGTGATGCATGTATCAGATGATCTGAAACTTAATTGAAAGTTTAAAACAAAAATAATCAGTGTGCTTTTATGTGACTTGTTTCACTTTTTAAACTTATCTACCTTGTTTCTGGGGAGAGAAGGCATTTTTGATTTCACAGATTCTTTCCCCACCTCTTGATGGAATATATGCCAAATGAAATAAAAGTGTTGTGAGCAGATCTGATCAATGATAACACAAAATATACTTCTTTAGTTGTAGAAAAGTGGAAGATAATGTGGTTTTTCCCATCAGATTGTGTTGCATGCTGTGACTCTCAATGTTGCAAAGTGCTTTCTGGATTAGAGACTGTGTATTTGAATCTTTGTGCCAAAACATCCAATAGGCATATTTTTGTAGTATTTGAAGATTGGTGAGGTCTTCATGTTTACAAGCCTGGATGCCTTGGTCAACACAATGCTCCGCAGTAAATGTATGCCTTTTGGAATGATTTTGAAATGTTTTGGCATAATGCTAGAGAAAGGGAATTTACTAATGACATCTCAGGAATACAGTCATGGTCATTTGGACAAAGGTTTTCATGGACAGAAAGAACTCTCACATTATCACCAAGAGAAAAAAACAAAACAAACAAAACCAAAATCAAACAAAAAAACTCACATTTTAATATTATATTCGTCCTCTTGCCATTAGGAAATTCATGTAAGTTCAAATATGGCTACTGCAACTGTGGTACATTTGGGTATCATACACCTTTTAGTATTATTCCAATCAAATCATTCTTTAAAGCAACTGGAACTATGTGTTTAAATATTCAGAATCCTTTCTCAGATGGAGTGAATATGGCTTACTTGTACCTCCTTGGTTTGAGGGTATTGTAGAACAGGGTAGCTGAGAACATAAGCTTCAAAGTTGGATGGAGCTGGGTTTTTGTATATTTACCTATTCATTATGTAACCTTGGGCAAGTTACTTACTTTTGTAAGACTCAATATCCTCATCTGTAAAATGGGAATACTAATACCTTTGTCATGGTATGAGTGAAGATTCAATTTGATAATGCACTTAGCACATGCTTGACCATAAATTTTAGGGAGAACCATATTATTCAAACCCGAATACAACTTCCTTATTCTCATTTTATTTCTTCTTCTGATAACATTCATAGTGGTAAACTCTCATGGAAAAGAAGTGTTTTCCCCAAAAGCAGAGCCTGAGTAAATAGCTGGTATATATGTAGTTTATTTTGGGAAGTTAGCCTAGAGAGGAGGAATAGAGGCTAAGAAGAATGAAATGGGGAAGAGCAAAACAGAAGGGTAAGCAGCTAGGGGCAATTGGGGCCCACACTGAACCCTCAAAGGTAGATGTAAAATGTCCGGGGGAAGGAAAAGGGGAGCATATAGCACCTGCTCCTGCCTTTCATTAATTGGGTTTCAATGGAATGTTAACATCCTTACATAGGTTTGTAGTGTATAATGGATTGGTTGGTTCTAACAGGTGGTTTAACATAGGTATCACTGAATTCCGAGAGCAGAAAGTGAAAGGCAGTGCAGCTGAGGTGTCAGATTATATTATACATATCTAATATATATTTTGCAAAGCTGGTTACCACAGGATGTGAATGTAGTCAGAGGATGTGTGGAAAGACAAAGAGGTGTATTATACATGATTCTTTATAGACACCATGTGCTTTCGATGAACCTAGAAACTTGACATAAATTGGTTCCCAGGTACCTTGGTTTCAAAGCCCACCATCTGAAGGACAATGGCTTAAACATTCTCTGTATGGTAAAGACCAATGTAGGAAAAGTCAACTCATTCGAATAGACCTGCAATTGGTATGTGTGAGGCCTCAATGGTGATTTCTATTTTAAACATCCAAGCCAAACAGACACATTCTAAGAGTGAGCTGAGACTTCTGTTTTGAAGAACTCCCCTTCCATTAGTTCTGTGAGGAAACTCAAACCTATGAGCATCGTTCCTCAGCCTCTAAGGATTATGTTTGAAACCTTCTTCAAGGAAACAAAGTGAAAAAAACAAAAAAAACACTTTCCCTTTCAATAATAGTTTTAAAAGTTATGTGTTCATCTCCATGGTTCATTTAATGTTGCTTACCTATTTTATTGGAAAATTTTTGATTCATCTCAATTTTTTAACTTTAAGGAAAGAATAAACACTTGTCAAACTTGCTACTGGATTCCTAGGGAACTCTGTTACTGTTGTTGTTAGCTGCCATTGAGTCACCCCTGACTCACGGCTACCCCATGAGTAAGCTGCCCAATCTTGAACCATCTCAGTGATCAGTTGCTGATGAGACCATTGTGATTCATAACGTTTTCATAGGCTGATTTTTGAAGGCAATCACCAGGCTTTTCTTCCTATTCCATCTTAGTCTGGAAGCTGTGCTGAAACCTGTTCAGCATCATAGCAACATGCAAGCTTCCACTGACCCACAGGTAGTGGCTGTGCATGAGGTGCATTGGCTGAGAATCAAACCTGGCCTCCTGCATGGAATTCTACTACCAAACTCTAGGGAACTCTAGGAATGCGTAAGTATCTATGAAGTAGTGGAGTTATGATAAGGGGTAAATGGATAAAGGGAAAAATTCAGTTTCATGATTCCTTTAATAGTTGGTGACTATGTGTTGGCAAACATTCCCTTTAGCTAAAATGGCCCAATTATTAAAACGCATCATGGGGATGGAAATTTTTCTTCTTCCTAGTAAACAATATGTCTTCATTTTAGATATTTTTAGTCTTCAAATTGGGTTCCAGACAGATGTCAGTCATATTTAGAAACTGTATTAAATTAACTGAAAATAGATAAACATTGACGATAATAATAAAACAAGAGAAATAATGAACAGTAAAAGGTAAATACTTTTTTAAATGTTACTCAAATAAACATCCAATAAAACCACCTTTCAGACAACATAAGTATTTGCATCATAAAAAACTCTACTGCTTGAAGTTTAAAATATTGATTAAAAAGCTTCCGTTGGACATCAAATCAGCCTAAGAAGAAATTTCCATCTTAATAAAATAGGCAAATTTTCCTTTTAAACATTAAAACGTATTTTTTTTTTAATTGTTTACCATTCGTGAAAAACACCTGAAAAGGGTCTTTCAAAAGAGAGAATCTTTCCCATTTTAAATTGAATCCAGAGGGGCATGAAGACACAATTCCAAAGTATCCAGAAGAAAAATGGACTATCCAATCAATGATTCACATGTTTTTAAATATTCAGTGTTTTTTTTTGATCCTTCCATAAAACAGGTGAGTGACTAAAGAAATTCTTAATATGTTTGTGGTTCCTTTTGTTGTTTTGACATCATGGTAATCTAGTCTGCCCTAAAGACTGTCTTAAACCACAAAACATGGTACACTGCTTACGTTTATGGGAACTTTGAAGGCTGGCTGCAGACTTTTAGACATCGTCTGGAAGATTCCTAAAGTGAAGCGAGAAGATACACTTGGACTTAAGTCACCAAAGTTAATATTCTCATGATTTAAATAGACTTCATACAGTCAAGTTTATTCTTCACTCTCAGTTACTTACTACTGCAATTCAACATAGCACAGGAATTGATGCATTTCTTGCCATCAATTCAAAATAAATAGCAAACGTTGCTATTTGAGAACATTTGGCCAATGAATAAAAAATATTTCATTTCTTATTCTCACCAGAAGGATTTAAATTAAATGGTAACAGATGTATTGGGCAGGCATAGAATACTAAATAGGAACTGGCAAATGAAATAATCAAGTTATTTGCTTTTACAATGACAATGAGAATTGATTGTGCATCAAGAGATAGAAGTAAAAGGACCAAGTATTTTTAAAAACGCTTCTCCACCAAAAGAGCAAAATAGCAGTCAGTGGCATTGCATTGTTAACAAAATTCCTTTATCAGAAACTATAATTTAATATTTAAGTATCTAATTTACATGTGACAAGGTATCATATCCAAAAAATTAAATTGCAACTAGAAAACTATTAACCACTAAAAACAATACCAAACACAACCCAAACATTTATAGGAAAGCAATAGCTAGAATTTGAATTGGAAAAAATGTTTCATTATATTTGGCTCATTAAACAAAGCATCCATTATAGTCTGTAAAAGAGCATCTTTTCTAATTCATCAACATTTTATCCTTTTCACATGAATAACATATATAGAGAGTTCTATAGACTGCATATGCACACGTGTGTATATATATTGTGAGGCATACACTTGTGTGCTGATTTAAAGATATTGTATCTACTGATAAATGACTGAACTTTGGAAGGTGCTGAAATCTGTACTTCTACATGTCCTTTGACCCATTTTTAAAAACAGGAACTACATAAAATACTCTATTTTTATTAACTAAACATTTTTTAAGCATAATAATAGACAATGAAAGAATTGCACTTATTGTAAAGGATACAGTAAAGTGTTAGACTGCAGCTCAGCCATCAGAGATCAGGGACCATTGTATTGGTAAGTTGTGCATTATATGCAAAGATAAGGGTGGCCATTGAAATTAAAATGAAAGCAACTAGTTACAGAACAAACAGGGGGGTAACAGAAGAAAACATGCACTGCTCCTGCTTTAATGCAAAACTAATTTCTCCCAGGAAACCAACCCTTTGACCTTCTTTCTACAAAGGAACAGGTTCTGCACCCTTGGCAACACAGTAGACTTGGACTTCTGTATTCAAATTCTAGGTCATTGTCTCTGACTGTGCTGTTCCCCTGTCATCTCCTTAAGCTGCCCTTGAAATTCTGGAGCATCTGCAATAATACTACAGTCTCTTGGTTAGGTTTCATTGAGCCTCAATATCTCCTTCAGTCCAATATAAATAGGGTCCATTATTCATCTTCTTCTGATTCCTGTGGTAACATGGGTATTTCTTCCTTTAAACAATCACTGAAGAATCTGAGGATTGTGCTGTAGAGGTGATACTTGCTCTTCTCAGATACACTATGACCTTCATCCGGATAGACCTAAATGTGGACAGGAAAAGAGATTTCAAGTTACCAAAGCAGCTCTTCTTTCCTTCAGAGTTCATTCTTTTAGTCCCAATGGCATGGAACCTTTGGGAAATAATATCCAAAAAAAATTTCACCTAATTCGACTCTGAGTTTTTTATGCTAGGCATTTTTTAATTATAAGCATATCATAGTCGATATTTGATTAAGTACAGGTTTTGTTTTGTTTTTAAGCTAGGACTTCGTTGGCAAAAAAATAAGTAAATAAGTGAAGGTAGACTTTTCCTTGTTCATGTCCTTTCCAATATAAATTGCACTAGAGATTTGTTTTTAAAGTACAAATATGATCATGTAAATTGAGTGAATTTTTTTTTTTTAATGGCTATTTATTGACCTCTGAATAAAACCTCAAACTTCTTAACACAGCTTCTGGCATGGCCCATCACAATTAATCTCTACATTTTCAACTTTCATTGCCTAACCCTGGTATTCTGTATGTTAGATATGCTGAATGAAGTACTTTCAGTTCTTCTAGATGCTGAGAAAATACACTTAATGCTTTTCACTTCTATGACTCCTCCACCAGACTAAAGGCTCCTTGCTAGTATAAAGTATGTCTTACTGACCCATCTTAGCATAGTGGTCACTCACTGTAAGTAAATGAGTCCTTGACAAATAGTTATCAATTGTGGTTGAATGTATGAATGTAAATGGTGTTTCATCCTCTCCTCCTTTCTTGTGATATTTCCCCAAAACACCTGTTCCCACCTTTTATAAGTCTGATGAAAAGGGAAGAAAGGCAAGAAAACGGACAATACAATAAATAGAAAGTCATTCATTATTAGTGATATGAATAAAAGTCTGAGGAGAAAAAGACAGTTTTGAAATGGTTTATGCAATCCACTTGTAATGCATGAACTCATCCATATTCTCAGTGTAATTAGGAATAAACACAGTCTCTGATACCTAAAAAACATAGTTAAAAATAATGGCATAGATGGGGGCAGGTGGAGTAGTGCAGAGGTTAAGAGAGTGAGGACAACATAATGGACAATGGAAGACATGGCCTTAACCCATGGAAGATCAAGTGCAGTGTTCTGCCGAAACAGTCTCCTTAATCATCTGAGGGAACCAGATTTCAAATACATATTTGAAGAACTCACTAAAGTTGAAGGTCTGCCTAAACATTCAAAGAAAGGTTCTTACAGATGAAGATGGAAGTCTCCACAGAGCTAGTCTCTCCTCTGAGAACTAGGGGCTATGAATCATAGGCATAAGCCTACAGAAGGTGAGTTCTGTATCTTGCAACCCAAAGACCAAGGTAGGAAAGCATATTCTTTGAAAAAGTACTTACCTGCATAGTATAATTCACTCCAGCTTTTATTAGGTGTTTGATTAATTCTGCTGAATGCTGGAAATGAACTTTTGCTGCAAGACATTAAATTATGATATTTAAAGGAAATAAGTTCACTAGGATTGAAATTTTTTAATATCATTGTTTTCAAAGAGATTGACTATTTTATTTTACATATGTTACACATTTAAAAAATGATATCTAGGCTTAACTAGAAAGCCAGTGGACATGATGGTGATTAAAATGTTGTGCTTCACATTATAAAAAATAAACAAAAAACAGGAGCTAATACCGCTAAGCCTCTACTTACTGTACAGGATGGTATTTAGATTTATTTTATTGGATGTCATTTATTATTTCTAATTGTTCACATATTTTATACCATTATACAAATTTTAACATACCAAATGTCGGTCTGGATGTTAATACAGCAAACCTACTTTCTCTTCCTTCCTGGAGATTACTTAGGGCCCACTTTCAGTTAGATAATGGCATTCTGCCTTATTATTTTAAATTGGAAAATACCCCGTGTTACAAAATAGCATGCACATCTCACTATTATAAAAAAAAAAATTGTCATTGAGTTCATTCCAACTCATAGCGACCCTTTTAATGTGGATCAATTTGGTAAATTCTGTATCCTTCTTTCTTCCTCTTTCTGAATTTAATGTCCAAAACTCTGAAATAAATGGCAAAGTATTCTTGGGATTTTCTAATCACATTGTCACTAAGTAGCTGTGAAGACTGGGATCAGTCACCAAAATTTCTCTGTGCATCATATGCCATCTGCAGGTATTCCTTCCTGTCCTATGTATCTCTTCAAATTTTTGTATATAATTTTTAAGCTAATATTTTTAAACTGTCCTTGCAAAACCAGGGCAGACTTATTGATAGTTTGAGCTTCTTTATTACTGTAATTAACTACTACTGATTAATCATACTACATAGCAGGCAATAAAAGATTCCAAACAATCTTTTAAATCTTTTTTAAATATGCCCAAGATCTCTTTAAACATCATATTGTACTTAATGGGAAAATTACCACCAAATCTTTAAATGAGTACAAATTGTTCTATAAATGTAAGCTGCTAGAGATGCTAATTACTAGCATCAATGACTAAGGTAAGATGATCCCTATATAATTCCTTTACTATTTCAAAAAAATATGAAAAGGGCCCTATCCTTATTCTGTATGAATACAGCTGAAGAAGATAAATATCTAAAGGGATTTTCCAATAGGAATTTTTCTTCTTAGTTTCTAGTACAATGAAGCCTGTTCATATTTGTGATGTGCTCCTTTCTAAACAGGGGTGTTAGAAGTCTAACTGACTGAGTTAACTGATTTGCTGGCAATTTTTGAAGCTAATATTAATAATGGTAGCATTACAGTTCATTGAGCACCTATTGTCCAACAGGCCCATAATGTGGTGTGTGTGTGTGTGAGCGCGTGTGTCTGCTTATGTGCACATACATGTGTTTCCTCTGAAAGGGGCATTCTGAATCTCTGCTTGCATTTTTTATCAGGTGGGGAAGCATCAAGCCCTTGACTGAGTGAGTCAGATAGGAATAACATGGTTCACCTTAACAGCTACAACATATTGATAAAGAAATTTGAAATATCCCTAATATATTCTAGGGTGATGACTAAATTTGAAGTAATTTAAACTTGAATATAATTTGTTTATTTAGAGCACAGTGAATAAAAACCTCAGTATCTGGATTCAAATCCCCAGTCCAAAAGTAGTGTGATTTTTGGTAAGTTACATAAATTCCTCAAGGTTTATTTTGCTGATCTGTTAAGTAAGAAAAGTAATAATAACTACCATATAACCTTTTTTGTGAATAATAAATAAGACATTAAAAGCTTTTAACACATTTTCTGACATATAGTCAGAATTTAATAATTGCTACTTATTACTATTAGGGGTCTCTGGGTGGTACAAATGGTTAAGCACTCAACTACTAACCAAAATATTGGCAGTCTGAACTCACCCAGAGGCATGTCGAAAGAAAGACCTGGGAAATTGCTTCCAAAAAGTCACAGCCCTGAAAACCCTATTGTCTCAGTCATATGGTGCTGCTCTAACAGGAATACCGCAAGTGGATGGATTTAGCAAAGAGAAGTTTATTCTCTCACAGTCCAGTAGGCTACAAGTCCAAATTCAGGGCTTCAGCTCCAGGGGAACAATTTC